GTTCCCCCGAGCACTGCCAGGAGTGACCAGGAATAACGGTCACAAGCTGGCAGAGGGTAGATTCAGACTAGACATCAGGAGGCGCTACTTCACAGTCAGGGTGGCTAGGATCTGGAACCAATGTCCAAGAGAAGTAGTGCTGGCTCCTACCCTGGGGTTCTTTAAGATGAAGCTAGATGAACACCTTGCTGGGGTCGTTTGACCCCAGTACTCTTTCCTGCCATGGCAGGGGGTCGGACTTGATGATCAGCTCAGGTCCCTTCCCACCCTATCAACTACAAAACTACATATAAGTTTTACTATCTCCATTCTACAGACAGGGAAAACAGAGTGGTTACTAGATCTGCCCAAAGTCAAAGAGCACAGGTTTTTATACTGAAAAGGTATTATGCCAGGCAGCAATATACTCAAGCATACTATGCTGCTCTGTAAATGCTACCTACCAAACATGCAGCAGTCTAACTACCTTCACACACTACCTCCCAAACTGGAAGCAGTGCAGCTTCATGTGAACAGGGCCACGGATAAACTCTTCAGCCTTTTTTTCTCATTCCATAGTGCAAATGAATCCACCCACATCGTTGTGCAAATACAGCCATGCTACTTCTGGCCTGGGAGTCACTCAGTATGTCCAATAGGGGTGTGTGAAATGGGCCATATTAGATTCAGATTTGGCCCGAATCGGGGACAGTGATTCGATTTGTTGATTCAGATCACTGTCCCCAATTCAATTCAGCTGAATCCAAATCCAAAGATTCAAACCTCATTCAGAAAAAAAAAAAAAAAAAAAAAAAAAAAAATCGGTGATTTGCCCATAGACAGGGCTTTAAATGTTTTTTCTACATACCTCAAGGTACCAGGTGCAGCTCGTGAGCGCTGTGATGCTGGGGTGGATGAAGCGTCCCACAGGAGTGCACCCCCCCACTTCCTGTCCACTTCCGGTTCTGCTGCTGAGTGTGCTGGGGAGCCCCTGCACTCCTGCGGGATACTCCATCCTCCCCAGCACTGCAGCATTCACAAGCAGCCTGGTACCTCGAGGTACGTAGAAAAGCATTTAAAGCTGCATCTATGTCCGAATCATCAAATCTTTCCAAATCTCTCTGAATCAATTCGCAGGGTTCCAACTTGATTCAGAGAGATTAAAGGTGCTCCTAATTTGATTAGGAGATTCGGTCACCGAATTGGGCCAAAACTCTGCCGAATTGGATCAGGGACTGAAGCTTCACACAGCCCTAATGTCCAAGTGTACAGCAGAAGTTTCACACAGCCCTAACGTCCAAGCCTTGCACAGTAAGTTTGTGGTACAGACAAGGCAGGGGACATGTGGTTTGTATTCCCAGTTGCCTATCCATCCAGCAGGCCACAAAGCCTCAAGAATCCACATGCTAGGAGACTCCTACAGCACAACTGCTGAACCAACAAGTTACCCAAAATAAGAAGATACAGTCACTCCATTGTGCCTCATATCAGCCTCATATCTTTAAGTGATCTAGCATGGCTCATCATTTTTGATGTATTTCCCCCTCTAACAGAACTAGAAATAAGTGGAGAAATCAGCTATCATCCTAGAATGGTAGAGAGAAGACCTCAGGTGAGCCCAGATCCCCTAACAAGGCATCATCATCCCAGCTAAAACATCTCCAAGCCAAAAGTGTGCATCTAACTTGCTCTTAATGTGCAAGGATGGAAATCTGATAACCTGAGTAGCCTGTACCAATGGTTAGCCACCCTCATTCTCTTGGAGAGTTAGAATCCAGAACCACAGTCCACAAAACAGGAATGATGGGCTTTTCCTTAAACTGTGACAGTGATTTTATTTAGCAAGGAGGACAACGGAAGAAGAATTCTGCTTCCAACAAGTTCAGTGTAATCAACAAAATTAAAAGCTTACTAATACATACCTCATACTTCATGGTAAAGAAGCCATCGCCACCAATTCCTTCCAGTGCAAAAGCCTGTACTATTGGCCACTTTTCTACAATGAACATATCAAATATCTGGAGATGCCCTATGGAAGCAAATATTTTACAAAAGTTAAAATGACTAATAGATCTCTTTTCTTCATAGTGTTCAAGTCTCAGAACAGTTTTAAAAAGCGAGTTTAAATATTCCAATTAAATACATTTTATTGACTGATGTTCTCTCTGGTGTTGCATTGGACTCCTATTTTTGGTAGCAATTAACATAAATTTTCAATAAAAGGAAAAAATGCAAGACAAACTGTAAAATCTACAATATATACCTACAATTAGTTTAAAGCCACCTAGTTATACATGATATCATTTGCTTCTGGAAATAATTGAAGAGTTATTTTTATTTGGAAATAATTTGGGACTAAAAATTGATTACATGCAAAAATGTAATATTCATAGAGTGGCAAGATTGAGAACTGTATTCAGAAGCACAGAATTTCGGCAATGTTTAAGAATTGTCCAGCAACACTGGTTTGAGTTGCCCATGTTTTACATTTTACAATAAAAAAAATTAAATATCATAATCCTGCAACAACTTTTAAGAACACACTTTATATTCAGAAGCCAGCCCTTTCAGCTTCATAGGATTGTTCACGCAGAAATGTCAGAATTTGGACCAACCAAGTGTAATATGCCAAAGCATTTAACATGAATGTAAGTACACAATATATATGTAAAAGGCCCCACATCCCAGTGGAAAGAAGCTTTTTGTTTGTTTTTCTTTTTAGTTTCCTCTTGAGTATCTAGACTCAAACTAAATATTGGTTTTAAAGAGTAAATCTTCCATGAACTTTTATAAAGGAGGAAAGACTGAAAGTTGTTCAGTGGGCTGAGCTGACAAGTTTCAGAGATGCTGGGAAGCTGTTTGAACTGGAGTAACGGTAGAGTTCGGGAACTCCTCAAAGAAGAGGCATATCTTCAACAACACTGCCCCAACAAGAGACTTAGCTCTAGAAACATGACTGCCTTGAAAACAACTGCTAATCCTTCTAAGAAAGGATTGTTCAAGACAATTAAAATAGCAAAGCTGGAAACGTTATGAGAGTGGAAGCATTCTTACCAGAAGGTATAGGAAACGTAGCATTACATTGGCTGGAATTACTTTGTGCAACTTTGCAAACAAATTTCTCTGCCACCGAGTCCAAGCATTTACACACACAAAATTAACTAACTAAATAACAGCGGATCACCGTTTGAACACAGGACCTTGATGATTACCAGCCAGTGTAATGCCAGACTTACAAAAGTTGATTAGGCATGAACAGAAAAAACAGTTACAGGGTTTTGAAGGGGCAAGACAACATAAACTGGATTTAACTGCACCACAGTAACTTATGTCTGTCCACTGAATGAAACTGGGTAAGTTATTGTGGTTTAGCTTCAGCTGGTGATGGACAAATAACAGTTACACCAGTTCAGCAGAGGCATGTCCCCATAGTAAGTCTTTCTGTGCTCATATGATAGACTCTTAAGGCCAAGAAGGGAATACTGATCATCTAGGTCAGTGGTTCCCAACCTTTTTTATACTGCGGACCAGCACAGCAGCGGGACCAAGAGGGGAGAGGGAGGGAGGCACAGAGCCAGCCGTCTCCCTCCCAGGGCTGCCCCGCTTTAACCCCACATGTGACTACCAGTAGTGGAAGCTGCTTGCCTGGGCAGACAGACAGGGGTCTGAGCAGGGAACTCATGCCACAACCCAGCAGCCAACCATTTGTAGCCCAGTACCAGGCTGTGGCCCAGTGGTTGGGAACCTCTGATCTAGGCTGACTACCTGTACACAAGTGCTAGAATTCCCCACATGACTTGTTTTGACTGTGAAGCATACACCTCATCCAGATTTCTATGCCAAAACCTACTGAATTCTTTCACAAAATTAGCATTTACCAAGCAAGTGGATTGCAGTAATCTTGCATCACCTACTGTATACAGTCACCATGAGTAACACATTTTAACAAGTACAGAGTTAAAATGTTCAGTTTGCAAGCCTGGCTCCAGATCATAAGGGAAGTTGTGCAGTCCAGTCTTCTCTCTTTTAAAAAGAGGAAACTTGCATAACAAAATTGTTAATTCTGTCCTTACATAAAAGGGTACTTATCCAAAGTTCCCATCAAAACAGAGAGCTTCTGTATTTAGCCAAACCCTGCATACCAAATTACTGTTACTATTTAGAATGAATGCTAAGATGAATCCAACAGTTAAACTTTTTGGGACACCAGAAATCCTAATCTTATAGTAAAGAAATTTCTTAAAATAAGACTGTTAATATACCATCAGGTTCTCTTACCTCTGAAGACTCCTGTTTTATGGTATTAGTTACATCAGTGAGAGCTAAGCTTTTTGGCAAGCACGCCACAAATTAAAATATGTGCCTTCTTCAAGAGCCACTCCAAACCCCTCCCCTGCTCAAGCTGCTACTCTGCCATCTGATCCCTGCCCTGTGTTCCTGACCAATCTGCTACTCTGCTTTCTGCTCGTTGATCTATCCACCAATATGTTGGCTACCCCCTTCCCCGTCTGCCACGTGCCACAAACATGCTGCCCATGCCACTTGTAGCACATGTACCACGGGGTAGCCATGCCTGAGTTAGTGTCATTTTAACCTTGCAAAACACAAAAGCATTCAAATGATTTCCAACAAGCACACAAAGCAATCAAAACAGTAACTCACCTTGAGAGCTGTAAGGAATACCAATTCGACTACAGTCACGAACCATATCTACAAAACTGGCAATTTTGAATTCTTCTGCAGCTTCTTCATCTTCGTACTGGAAGGAATCATTTAAAATGAGTTTTACTAAACCTAATATTGAGACTCAAAATATTTATAGGTGAAGTATTTTTTTTTAAAACTAAAGGTGAAAAACTGCCAAAGATCAAAGTTGCTTATGCATTACCTTTGACGTTCCACAGTAAGAAAAGCTCCCCAAAAAGTATGGCCTGGAGAGTTTATCCAACACGGAATGGAATATATTCAAGTCACAAGATGCCATTCCTCAAAATGGAAGTGAATACTTGAACAAGAAAATGCAGAAGCATCTACATATACTTTCAATTTCCAAGGATGTCTGTCTGTAACACCTACGTTTTAGGCCCTGGATAGACATATTTGAATTGCTCCAGGTGCCTTTGAGCTGCACCAAACAGCCAGGACACACATGTGCACAGCTGAAATGTTAAATATTACCTGAAAGGTAAAATTTTAATCTCAAAGAATAAGAAACATCTTTGAAGCACTTCCTGAAATGTCTTTATAGGTCAGCTTCCCCCAGTCCTCTGCTTCCCAACTCTGTGGGGCAGGGGAAGAGGGGAATGGGGCAGACAGTCTCTCCTGCATGCTCAGCTGTCCTCAGGAATTTGTGGAGATCCGAGCAGGGCTGGACACTGGCGTGGGTAAACTGAGGGGCTGCCCAGGGCCCAGACAAAAAGGGGGCCTGAAAATGGTAATTTTTATTATTATCATCATCATTCCAGGCAAAGGGGGGGCCTGATACTAAAAGTTCGCCCAGGGCCACCAGAAGTCTAGGTATGATGCTAGATCAGGCAGGGCTATGTTACCCTGCTGCATGTTGCTATGTCATTTTTATAGTTTGAATGAAGCCATTTTGTGTCACTACAACCACACTGCAACTTCTTCAACAACTCCAGAGACAGAGATCTTCATTTTTCTTCCCTTTCCACTAATTATATTTCCCTTTTTTCCTCGTCTCCCTGCACCCTTATAAACTCTCCACCCTGCACTCCATTTTAAGAAACACTTCTTGAGCTATAAAGGTGCAGCAGACTAATGCAGAACAAGACACGGAGCTACCTAGAAACAAGGAAAATGGATGTTTTTTAAATAAAGAGGCAAGCCAAACAAAACTATTTTGCATACAATACTGGAAAATAATGTTTGTTGATCTGCATCTAAAAATACAAGCTCAACAGGATTTGATAAAATCTGGAGCCGTATGCCTTCATTTTTGGACACCCCCAGGATCACCCTTTTTCCAACTAGGGCCAAACAAATGTCCAGGGTCTATAAGAATTTGGCAAGTCCACAAAAATGTATGCTGGTGCAGCCCCCTCAGCCAACACTATTTTAATGCAGTCAGTAAGTCTCAGAAGTACAAGCTTAGTTGTTCCACTGGTGTCACACATCTCCACTAGAAATGTTGGGTTTTTTAAAAGCCCAAGTTCTCTTCTTCCACAAAATTTATCATGCACCAAGGTCTTTCCAAACAATTTGCTTTCACCTTCTCTGAGCAAATGGATCAAAGCTGGTCTCCAAACTACTGCATCAGTTACTTAAATTAGATTGTAAAATGCCTCCATTGCATTCCTGGTTTCCAAGGGGAAGCGGAAAGATGGCTCAGCCCAAGCTATTATACTATCTCTGAACCATGCTATGCAAGCATTTAGAAAATGTGCAGCTTATGACACTGTACAAGTAGTTCAAAAGACTTGTTCAATGACATTTTTCTTTTCCATCACTGTCCAAAGCATTCACTTAAACATTACGGCTCAGGTAAAAGGCAAGAGGACATTCAATTCTGCAATTTCTCTGTAACAGCTGCTCATATCCTAGGCATCATATCAATTTGATCATTTTTAAAGCTTTACTGTACTATAAAAGCAGAGCTAAAAAAAAGGCCAAACATCAATATGCCACTGAAATGGAGAACAAGTAAATACTGTACAAAAAACCTCCCAGTCGTGAGCAACTACTCCTCAGAGAGAATGAATCTAAAATGGCATCTGAAGGCTGACAGGGCCAGATTTCAAAACTCCTACAATATGCCAAAATCATTTAAGGAAACTGCCAGTCTTTTACACATGAAAGAAAAACACCACATTTTTAGCGTTGTGCTGCTGACATACTATATGCAATCCTCTGAATCTGCATCATACTTGCAAAAGCAGAAAACGAAAAAAAAAAAAAAAAAACCCCATCAAAACTTCCACTTCTCTCACTCTGCACTATCCAAAAAAATATCAGCGTCTCCATTGGGGCTCATTTTTCTGAAAAAGATCAACCATGTGAATCAACATTACGAAATGTCGGTCAGGATTAAGATGAGCCCCTGCACACAGGCATGGTATGTAATTGCTAAATAGTAAGGATGCCAATTTCAAGTCCACTTTAACAAAAACAAGCAGATTGAAAGATTTCTAATTACATGCACTGTTAGCTCATTAGGTGAAAGGCTTTTGGAAACTACTTCCACCCATGCTTCAAAAGATCCTTGGTCTACTGACCTTCAGGACACACTGGGGCTTTAGCTGCTAAGGATCAACATTTAGATTTAACTTCCAGAAGCTGTTGCTTATAGTTTTCACTGCTTATATTTTCCAAATTTTTTGTCAAAAGGCAATAAGAACTCCAGATTATAGCTTCAAGGAAACAGAGAAAGAACCACACAATAGCTCTGCTTTTCCCGATCATTTTTAAGTTACAGAGTAAATTTTGAGAACTTCCTTCATTGCTCAACATGACAAGGAAAGCACAAGTGAACGTTCTTTCTGTACCAAAGTCCCTTCCCAACCCCAATTATCCATCCATCCACACCATACACTTCAAATCCAGCTGCTACATATCCTCAACACAAGCAGACCAAATTCCCTGTGATGAACTCTAGCCTTTCATCTGGCAAACTAGATTTTCACATCCCCTTCTCCTGGACCTCATAGTCAATCACTCTACACAGGAGTCATGGCAGTGTGTAGGAGCCAAGTGCAGCCTAAATGATCAGGAATTTGCAACTTCATTACAGAGGAAATTTTCCATCTCTCCCCAGCCACAGCGTTGGAAGACAAAAACAGTTGACAGCTGTGAGTAATCACATGAGATATTCTTAGAGAAGATCAGCTAGGCTGCACAAAAATCCTAGGGCTTTTAACTGACAAATTCTGAAAGTTGCAAGCAGGGAAAGAAAGCAAGGTGAATGCCTGGTGAGTCTGGCTGTTCCACACTGTCAGGGTAGCTTTTGGTTTCCTATTCCTCATTCCTTGTTCCTGTTGTTTGTAGGTTTTTCCTGCAATCTCTAGAGAGATGCAGCCCCCGCATTACACCTCCCACCCACAATACACTTGGCATGCATGGAAGGGAAAGAACACAGATTTGAGATCTTAAGATCCTTTCACTCATCTCCTCCTACATGCTTCCATCGTCAGCAGCCAGCGTCATGCATCAGCAATCCCGCTCCCTCTCACCCCCATGGATTTCAGCACCATGCTAATTTGAAGTGAGAAGGACAGATGACATTTAATGATGTGAAGCTTACTTTAAATGGGTTTATTAAGGAGGTTGTGGGCCAAGGCTCAGCCAAGTCCTTTTTTTTCCATTGGATCTGTTTGACCCTGGATCACCAGGACAGAAAGCCTACTCAAAAATGACAAGTGGCCACGCAGAGGTTATGGTATGCAGCCAGACAATGGTGCACACAGGAAAAAACAAGTGGGCAGGTCACAGTCAGTTACAGTATTAGACTCATCAGTTAAGTGTCAGGTTATCCAATAGTTCATGTGATCCAGCCCCGTCTGGAACCAGTAAGGATCAAAGTGAGGGGACAGAGCTTTAAGATAAATTTATGTCACTGTAAATCTACCAGACTTTGCCACGGGAAATGATTTATTAGAGTAAATAAAGTACATAAAGCCTATGATGAAAAATTAAGGCCCAGTTCATTTCTATTGAAATGAATGGCCACACTCCCACTCACTTCAGTGGAGACGGAAAACTTTTCAGACATTAACTGAAAAATGTATTTTTTAAATCTAGCCAATCTTACCAAATGCCATTTTTTTATGTTTTCGTTACTCTTCTGAAAGTAATTGCAAAGTTTTGAAATAGAACAAACTTCACGTTAGGAACAGAATTACCACTACAGATTTCAAGGTTGACTGCAGTATTTAATTCAGCTTCTTTATTTTTTAATTAGTGCCCAAATATTCCCCTCATTAAATTAATACCAGATTTCACCACAACTATAATCAAGGGAGAGAAGGAAAAGGACGTGGGGTGGAGGAGGCTATTTCTCATTTCTGATTTGGCTGACAGAATACAAAGCACTGGATAATTTTTTTTTCCTCTCAGCTTTGCAAAGAGAAATCATTACCTTCAAAAAGAAATGCCTGGCTTCCGACTAGGATCAAAAGGAAGCCTGCAATTTATCAACAAGACAAGTTTGTACAAAAATAGTAAGAGGCCTCAAGATCCATTTTATTATTGAAGTGTTACAGAAATGATAGTCTTGTACTTTTTCTGCTTTCACTCACCTCATTTTCAGTCAAGCAGTGAAAATGCAAATTTCTCCAGTGTGCCACATATGGCAAAAGATAGCTGTAGTTCACAGGATTACAATATAGATGGACACTGTCAGGCTTTACTAATATGATTACATCTGTAGTAAACAAAAGGCAAATAAAGGTTTTACTAGAATAGCATCAAATCTCTGAATAGTTACCTTAGAATCTTAATCTTATCTGCAACGAATGTTAATGAATTAAGCAGACAATGCTTTAACTAGAAAGTATTCTGTTAAAAAAAACAGCAAAGCAAAAATACACCATGGAAAGCAATCTTTGGTCCATTTCAGGTGCACTGCACAAAGTGACCAGTTTTTGCTAAACAAAAAAAAATGAGAGAGAGAAAGAAATGCACTAGTACTTCTCTTTTCAGCAACACAATCAGTTTTATTTCATGTCTTCCTGGAGGCTTGCATCATACAGCCTTTGAGAAGCCAAGGAATGTCAGAATGATGAGTACTTGCACAGCATTATACAACTGTCCATGGCATTTGCTCATCTGTGGCATTAAGAGGTTGCTCTGCACTACCAATGGTAGGGGGAGGAAAAAAAATAATCCCCCAAAAGAAAAAAAAGCAGATACAGTGCACATTTCCAACATAAAAGATATAGTTAACTCTTAAAGATATTCTAAATATATAGTTAGTTATCGCTTGAAGTGAAAATAGGATGTAAAATAGGTTGATTTAAAAACTTTGCATGTAAAACATAATGAAATAAAATTAAGTAAATACTGGTAAAGGATTAACACAGTAGTTTTCAACCTTTCTAGACCTAAGGCACCTTTTGCCAGGACTAGGATCCCCCTCAGAAAACGTCAGCTCGTTTTTTGACTATGAAAAAATAACGGAGCAGTTCCATTGCAAAGAACTCAGAAAGACCACAACAGGGCAGAATGTTTGTAAACGCTATGGATTTCTATATGAAATCTCTGGGTTTATCTTGTGCACCATGTTTGCACACCTAACAGTACTAACATTAGACAGCATCCAACAGAACTCTTGAAAGGATCTCAAGGCACCCCAGGGTGCTGCAGCACCTTGGTTAAGCATCACTGACTTGGCCCACAGAATAGAGTTGATTCCACATTTGTTGATTCCTTGGGTCCTAACAGGATATCAAACTAGATTTTCTATTAAAACCCATTTAACTCCACTAGATCTCTAATATTTATAGTTCTGCAGTTTGACATATCAGATCTCTCCCTCCAACCACCACCCAAAAAGGACCCTGAAAAGAGAGCATAATTTTAGAGCCTTACTCACCATCAAGAACTTCTTCAGGAAACCCAGTTCTTTCAAAGTCATTATTATTCTGATTATATAATCCAAAAAGAAGATAGTTTGCCAGCTCCCTGCAGCCTTCATTGTATCGGCTATCAATTCCTGAAACAGAACAGACCAGACATATAATATTGTAAAAGATAACAGTACAGAGAACATTATGGTGCCTGTGCATGCCATCTAAATAAAAAGATGAGGGCAGAGACCCAAGTGATAAATGAGTTTTGTCCCATTAAAGATCAAGAGAGATGAGAGGGAAGAGAACAGCCCTGACTGCAACAGCAAAGATTACATAGCTGCATATTCTTGCCATAACCAAACAATACAATTAATTTCTTAAAGTTGTGCTTCTCTGGAAGTAGTCCAAATTAAAAGCAGCATCAAGAGAGACAAGAAAGAGTCTACAGTACCCATAACACCCAAAGAATTTTTTTCTATTGGTGCTTTCCTAAGATTAAAAACTGGTGAATTAACTATCTTTTCAGATCATAGGAAAACAGGGCTGGGACGGACTTAAAAGATCATCCAAGGCATGAAGTCCAAAACACCAAGCTGAACTGTGTTACAAAATTAAGTATCTGAGCATGCTTTGGATTCAAATGTCTTCATTAATCTGTAAAGGGGCCAATATTATATAAAATCTATGTACCTTGCACAAAATGTATTATTTGACTAATGATCTGCCCAATAGTAAATCTTCTAGTAGAACAACTGTGCCCTGATCGACAGTAAAGCTAATGATACATACCAAATTACAGTGTAGGATGGGTAGAGTAGAAATGGTTTCCCAACTGAATTATGGATTTATAGCAAATAGAAAATGCATAACCTTGTGGTTTGACATTTTTTAAAGTGCCAGGAATACTATTTACAGAACAAGAATGACTAAATAAATCAATAGCTACAACTGTTATTTCACTCATGTACAGACAGAAGAAACAATGGCATGAAGTGTAGTCCACCCCACACTTTCTTATTTAAAAACTATCTGGGCTTAAACATAATGACATTTTCTCATCAGCGCATTTGTTTTTAACAAAAACTTTCCCAAACCTTTAGTTTAAAAGTAGGTGAATTCAAAGGATTAGAATAGAAAACATAAAAGCAACCTAAAATATAGCTTTCTAGCAATTCAGCTACAGTTCTCACAAAGTGATATGCCTTCTCTATGAATATTAAAGTTTAACTTTAACATGGTTAACAAGTTGTTATGTAGCTGCTTGGTCGTTAAGATCAAGTTAATGCAAACTGGTCCTGCTGGATAGTGATAATGAAACTCAACAGCACAATGTGCAAGATTTTTGCTGGACTGAAAGTAAACATTTATTGTTAGATGGAACATGTTTTGTCCTTCTTCTCCAAGCACTGCTTCTGTTTGATTAACCAGTGACTGTCTACTGTGAAATGTATAAATAACCCTGGCAACAGAAGCTAGAGCCCAAGACTCCCCTCCGGCAGGAACACTCAAACCACAGACTGAAGGAGTGGTACAAGCCCAGTCCACAGGCTTGATGAATGGCACAGGGCTGGTCCCATGGACAGATCATGCCCTTGCCCCCCATCCCATGCCAGATCAAGCACACACGGCACCTCTGGCAGGACCTGGCAGCAAGAAGCCCAGCATGCCTGGCACTTGGCTGCTGGCCTTCTTCTCATGGTGATGCTGGGGCTCTGGCACCACAGCTCACACCAGTTTGGCTGCCAAGCACCATGGCGAGAGCAGTGCCATGGAGATGCAGCAACACCACAGGAAGGAGCCCAGCATCCCAGCTGTTCTGCTGTTGCCAGGAACAAGCCAAAGTGATGCTGGGGCTCCAGCACTGTGGGTCACCCAGACACTTGGCTGTTGCCAGGAAAAGGTCCCCCATCAAGGCTGCGGGCCAGATAACTCAACTCTGCAGGTCGGATCTAGGCTGTGGGGCATGTTTGACCCCCTGCTCTAAGTACCAGACTACAGAGGAAGGCTCTTTTTGCTTAGTCTCCATCTGACTCTATGGTTCTTGCATTCTTGTCTGCACATTGCTATAGCTTCAACTGGAGTGACGGGAGAGTGCCCTGGTGTAACCTTTTGTATGGCCTGGTTAGGACACGTGGGTGGGCGATATGGGTTTAAAACCCCTTGGGGAGCGCGGGAGCCTTGAAACCAGGTCATCCACATCCTGGTCTAATCGTCTAGCCACAAGCCTACTGGGCAAAAAAGGCAGACATAGTTACCACCGCTGGAATTGAGCCGAAGCCCGTGCTGCCCATGAGTATTAGTCATGGCTTCTATCTGTTGAACAGTACAGCACTCACTGGGGACTTGCACAAGACTTGTGCATCTTCCGGGGCCAACTTAAATTATTCTGGAGTGTGCGCCCTGGATTGCGTTTGCAGCAAAACCAAAGTGTGACAGTCTAGGGACCCTTACAATCCCCAATGGAGATGCATGCCAGATTTAGGCACAAAATGAGTTTTTTAGTGTGCTAGCCCCAGGCCAATTGTAATCATTCCTTACGGCTGGCACCTAACTCCTGCCTACATCCTAGTTTAGCGCCAGTGAAGAAATCTGAACCTGGCCCCAAGTGAAACTGCAAACAGTTTTACAAGCAAACAAAGCTACTCCAATGCTACCAGGGAACTGGCAGGAAATGCTGTGTCCTATGACAAACTGACTCCTATCTGGGGCTAGATTACCACAAAAATGCTGGTTTCTTGGAGCTAATGAAGGCATTTTGTCTCCATATTATTTAATCCTCTTCATTGAAGAGGGGGGAAGAGGGATAAGAGAATAGATCACCATAGATGGCTGGAGTGAACATATAACAATGATTTAAAAAAAAATGTAGTGGAAGCTGAAAGAACCTACACTGAACTTCATCTCAAAACTACAGTGTTACAGACTACATAGAGAAGAGCTATACACTCTTTAAATAGGAAGAGATTTGGCATGTGAAGTGTGATCAGACAACTCAATGCCATCTTCCAAACCAACCTCTACTCCTGCAACACGCCTCTGAGCTGACTCACAAGTTGTATCCTCCTGAGACTACCTATCCTCTTATGTTAAGAAACAAGCCAATTAATAATAGCTTGAGGGGCCCTTAAAAGTTGGCACTTCATATATACACTATTAGCAGGAAGGGTGGGGAGGGAGGGAGCGATCCGTACGTCAATCACATCCACTTACACCTCTTCATCCCCACCCTTTAGACGTCACTGCTCTCCTAAGCCCCAGTTCTGCAGCGTTTGTGGGTATGTATTCGTACAGAACATCAGTTTTACACTTAGCAAGACCGGGGCTGCGGAGTTCAAATTTTGGGGAGCAGGGACCAGATCATTTAACACAACGGGGTCCTGATGCCGAATTGCGCCTCTGGGCACTACCGACGCATATAATAACTTGTTTATTAGTCTTTTTGCTCCAATTGGTCCCTATGAGCCTCATTTCAGTCCATCAGAAAAACCAGGATTGTTATTGTTAACAAGAGCTGATCATCTGGCAGACCTGGGCAGGTGGGATAAGTGGGCAGTACACAATAGGATGCAATACAACAAGGACAAGTGCAGAGTGCTGCACTAGGGTGTAAAAATATCCAGCACACCTACTGGCTGGGGAGTGCCTCTCTCAGAAGTACAGAAGTGGAAGGGGATCTCGGAGTCACAGTGGACTCCAAGATGAACATGAGTCAGCAGTGTAACGAAAGTCAGCAAAGCTACCCGCACTTTATCACGCATCAGCAGATGCATGACAAATAGAGCCAAGGAGGTGATACTTCCCCTCTCTGAGGCATTGGTCAGACCACAGCTGGAGTACTGCATCCAGTCCTGGGCACTGCATTTCAAGAAGGATGTGGATAACCTTGAGAGGGTCCAGAGGAGGGCTACTTGTCTTGTAAACCCTTAACCATACAAGCCCTGTAAGCAGAGACTGAGGGATCTGGACCCTGCCTCTGCAAGAGAAGGCCAAGAGGTGATCTTGTGGATACTGATAAATTCATTGGGGGATGCAGCAAGAGATTGTAGATGCTCTGTTCACCAGGGCACCTCTTGGGGTAACAAGGAGCAATGGTCATAAACTGGCAGACAGCAGATTTAGGCTGGACCTCAGGAAAAACTTCATGGTGAGGGTGGCCAAAATTTGAAATGGCCTTCCAAGGGAGGTGGTGCTTTCCCCTACCTTGGGGGTCTTCAAGAGAAGGCTGGATAGGCATCTGGCTGGGGTCATCTCACCCCAGCACTCTTTCCTGCCCAGGCAGGGGGTCAGACTCGATCATCTTTTGAGGTCCCGACCCCGACATCTATGCATCTGAACCGTAGATGTTAAGACATACCTACAAACCTACTGTTTAAAAACAATAAATAAAAATCTGTTGCCCTTTTAAAAGTTCAGGGTGATTTCCCTGCCTGAGAAGTTAACCTGCTCTCTAGATAGTGAGAGCTCACTCCTGATAGCAAGAAATTAATAAGCTTTCCAGTAAGGACAACCCTCTTACAAAGTCTTCATTCCAAACCCTTCCCCCCTGATTACAAGGGAACATTTTGATATTCCATTTGTTTTTCAGGAAGTTGAAATGTTTCTAGCATGATGCATCTTAATATAAAGATTTTGTCACTTCCTTCCTTAGAGATAACTGTAAGGAGAAATAAAACATATGTATTTATTTTTATATGCCCTCTGCAAGCACTGGTTTCACCATAGGCAATAGATGGAATTTTTATAGGATCCTTTTGTTTCAATATTGACACTACAAAACTGATATACAAAACTGAACGGCAGAAGGCTTTCCATCTTACCTAGCAATACAGCTTTACACATCTGGCTAGAAATCTACCGCATTTAATCTAATTAGTATTTTCAAGTTTCCTAACCAGCTAATCCTATGACCTAGTTCATCCATTTTAGATTACATGATTACACATTAGTTGATACGCTTTATAGTACTATCCCTGGGTTATGAAAAAGCTGTATTTGCAGATATTTAACAAATTATCAAGAAATATCAAGACAGACAAAAACGGAAGCCACTGACAAGCCAAGGAGTGATCAGCAAAGAGATCAGCACTAATAACCCTTAAAAAATACCAAAGCTCTATTATAAATTGGGGGCACCAGGACAGTC